ACACACACACACACACACACACACACACACACACACACACACACACACACACACACACACACACACACACACACACACACACTTTATTAAATATAGAAAAAACATAACTAGGCCTACAAATGTTATCTTGTTTGTGAGCAGTGTGTAGTAAGTATTAATATCTCACCTTTGAGGCATACGTGTGTCCGTCAGAACCGCACACCAAACTGGAGTGAACAACAGGACATGGCCTACATTTCCCATGATTCACAGCTCCCATCCAACGCTTATGAGGGATATTTCCTTTTTTGGCTTTAACACTAAACAGGGGAAGAGAGAAAATGAGATTATTTCAGAAATACAGCCATATGTTTGTCTCATATCCAGCCCAAATATCTACAAATTCTTAAGTCAAGAAGCATTTTTAGACAATAAATAAAAAGAAATATATATATAAAGATAGATAGATAGATAGATAGATAGATAGATAGATAGATAGATAGATAGATAGATAGATAGATAGATAGATAGATAGATAGATAGATAGATAGATAGATAGATAGATAGATAGATAGATAGATAGATCACTGCCAATTTGAAGTTATTTAGCGGTTGTTATTTTGGTATAACATCCCTTGGAATGTTACAACTGACCGATCAGAATCGAGGATTGCTGGACAGCCGTGTAATACGGGAGTGATAAAGTCTGTGTTCATTTAATTATAATAGGCTAATCTGGGCAAAGCCAAACAGTAGTTTTATAAAGCAACTAATAATTAGCGTATCATCTATCACAGACACTGTAGCTCTAATGTTACTCAATCTGCTGTTAAAAAACAAAAGGTCCACTACCATCATGCTTTAAACAAAGAATCAAAATAATGAATTGGATGTACTGTAGATATCAGAGAAAATTATAGGTGCAGATGGGAGGCGTGCGGATGGTCTGTTTGAAGCAGTGGTTCGGGTGACATTTGAGCTAATCTGCATATCTCTACTGCACACACACACAAACGCGTAAGATCAGAGTAGACTAGTAAATATATCCCTAAATACTACATATAGTTTGCAGCAGAAATATTTTACACTTATTAAATATGTATGAAATATAAGTGTCTCCTTGTATCTAATCATTAAAAGAAAAAGCACATTTTGAAACACGCTCTTTGCTATTTTTTAAACACTCTCCTATATTTCTCAAATTGACATGTGATCCTTGTGAAAAAAAAATCAAGTGCTTTAACTGAAGTAGAAAATAAGGTGTCAGAACTCTTGTGGACCAGCTGGCTTATGCAAATCATTGTCATATTTAAAACTTCACTACAAAAAGAAAGGAAAAACAATTGGTGATAAAGCTGGTGTTACATTTACATACATTTGGCGTGCCAAACAAATACTATTTGAAACTATTGTTTATGTCACAGCAAGCCTTTACATTGGCAGCCAATGTCATTCATTAACATTATTCAAATTACCATCATAAGAGAGAGCTTCTGATAAGCAGACTGACTCTTCTGGCATCTACATGATTGTGGAGATGAGAGGTAATAACTGACGCAGTGCCTCCTCCTAGCAGTGTGATTTATAGAGTGTCATTGCTAATCTCTCAGACAATGACGCTTTGACTCGGAGTTTCAAAGTTCCAGAAATGTGAGAGAACAGGCAGCATGCAAAAAAGTGAAGATTCGCTTCAGGATTAAAATATAGAAGTGCTGTACCTGTGTACGTTTTACTAAGACATGCTTGAGTGTAGTAAGATCTGGTCAAGCGTACTAAAACCCGGTAAAGTGTAGTATGACTTGATCAAGTATACTGAGAAATGGTTAAGTGTACTAAGATCTGGTCAAATGTAGTAAGACCTGGTCATGTGCACTAGGATCTGGTCAAGGGTATTAAGACTTGGTCAAGTGTACTAAGATCTGGTCAAGAGAACTAAGAACTGGTTGAGTGTACTAAGATCTGGTCAACTGTACTAAGGTCTGGTCACATGCAGTAAAACCTGGCCAAGTGTACTAAGACATGGTTAAGTATAGCAACACCCTGGTCAAGTTTAGTAAGATCTGGTCAAGTGCAGAAAAACCTAGTAAAGTGTACTAAGACATGGTCAAGTGTAGTAACACTTGGTCAAAGTAGTAAGGCCTTGTCAATTGTAGTAACACCTTGTCAAGTGTACTAAGACCAAGTCAAGTATAGCAACATCTGGACAAGTTTAGTACGATCTGGTCAAGGGCAGTAAGACCTGGTCAAGTGTAGTAAGACTTGGTCAATCTTCTAAGACCTAGTTTAGTGTATTAAGAATGGGTCCAGGTAGTAAGACCTAGTCAAGTGTAGTACGTTCCGGTCAAGTGTACTAAGATCTGGTCAAGAGAACTAAGAACTGGTTGAGTGTACTAAGATCTGGTCAACTGTACTGAGGTCTGGTCATATGCAGTAAAACCTGGCCAAGTGTACTAAGACATGGTTAAGTATAGCAACATCTGGACAAGTTTAGTACGATCTGGTCAAGTGCAGTAAGACCTGGTCAACTGTAGTAAGACCTGGTCAATCTACTGAGACCTAGTTAAGTGTATTAAGAATTGGTCAAGGTAGTAAGACCTAGTCAAATGTAGTACGTTCCGGTCAAGTGTAGTAAGACCTGGTCAATCTTCTAAGACCTAGATAAGTGTATTATGAATTGGTCAAGGTACAGTAGTAAGACCTAGTCAAGTGTAGTACGCTCCGATCAAGTGTAGTAAGACCTGGTCAATCTTCTAAGACCTAGATAAGTGTATTATGAATTGGTCAAGGTACAGTAGTAAGACCTAGTCAAGTGTAGTACGCTCCGATCAAGTGTAGTAAGACCTGGTCAATCTTCTAAGACCTAGTTTAGTGTATTAAGAATGGGTCAAGGTAGTAAGACCTAGTCAAGTGTAGTACGCGCTGGTCAAGTGTATTAAGACTTGGTCAATCTTCTAAGAACTAGTTAAGTGTATTAAGAATTGGTCAAGGTAGTAAGACCTAGTCAAGTGTAGTATGTTCCGGTCAAGTGTAGTAAGACCTGGTCAAGTGTAGAAAGACCTGGTCAAGTTTAGTAAGATCGGGATAAGTGCAGTAAGACCTGGTCAAGTGTGCTAAGACCTAATCAAGTGTATTAAGTCCTGGTCGAGTGTAGTAAGATCTGTTTAGATGTACTAAGACCTGGTTAAATGTAGTAATACCTGGTCAAGTTTAGTAAGATCTGGTCAAGTGTCCTGAGACCTGGCCAAGTGTAGCAACACCTGGTCAAGTAGACTAAGATGTACGAAAATCAGGTCAAGTGTAGTAAGACTTGGTCAAGTGTTCTAAGATCTGGTCAACTGTACTAAGACCTGGTAAAATGTAGTAAAACTAAGTGAGGTAAGACCTGGTCAAGTGTACTAAGACCTAATCATGTCTACTAAGATCTGGTTAAGTGTACTAAGACCTGGTCAAGTGTAGTAAGACCTGGTCAAGTGTACTAAGTCCTGATTAAGTGTAGTAGGAATTGGAAAGTGTAGTAAGACGTGGTCAAGTGTAGAATGATGCAGTTAAGTGTAGTAAGACCTGGTCAAGTGTAGCAAGATCTGGTCAAGTGTACTAAGACCTGATAAAGAGTACTAAGTCCTGTTCGAGTTTAGTAAGTCCGGGGAAGTGTAGTAAGAATTGGTCAAGGTAGTAAGACCAGGTCAAGTGTAGTTAAATCCAGTCAAGTTTAGTAAGACCTGGTCACGTGTAATAAGACCTGATCAAATGGACTAACACTGGTCAAGGATGATAAAATCTGGTCTAGTGTACTTATACCCGGTCAAGTGTAGTAAGATCTGGTCAAGTGTACTAACACTGGTCAAGGATATTAAGATCTGGTCTAGTGTACTTATACCCGGTCAAGTGCACTAAGATCTGGTCAAGTGTAGTAAGACCTGGACAACTGTAGTAAGGCCCTGATGAACAGCCAAGTAAAAATGAATATAACAAACAGACAGCGCTCAATTCTGAGGGGGATTAGAGTTTATGAGAAGATGAAATCTTACACCACATGGGCTGATCAGATATATCACACACACAAACACACACTGGAGATAAAGAACGTGACAAAAGACGTCTGTAATGCCAACCGCATTCACACTCCAAATGTCAATATCTCACAGAAAGCATGAAGCCTGATGATCTGAGGGTGATAAACAAATATCATCTCTGTCTGTATCTCACCGCTGACATCATACTCCAACAGATGTCAGTGCAAAAGATTTTCTGTTTATCCCTCATGTTCACCAAACATACAGCAAAAAAAGTATTATTGTATCTCAAACAGAGGATTTTAAAGTCTACATTAAATGGTCCAAATCTGAATTTTTATTAAGGCCAAAAGTCAGGAACAACTGATTTTACATAACTTTACAAAGTCAGACCTCATTCATTCACTTGTCGGCTTAGTCCCTTTATTAATCCGGGGTCACCACAGTGGAATAAACCATCAACTTATCCAGCAAGTTTTTTATCCAGCAAACCATCTCTGGGAAATATCCACACACACATTCACACACACTACGGACAATTTAGCCTACCCAATTCACCTGTACCGCATGACTTTGGACTGTGGGGGAAACCGGAGCACCCGGAGGAAACCCACGCGAAGGCAGGGAGAACATGCAAACTCCACACAGAAAAGCCAACTGACCCGAGGCTCGAACCAGTGACCCAGCGACCTTCTTGCTGTGAGGTGACAGCTCTACCTACTCCGCCACTGCCTCGCCCAAAGTCAGACCTTACTGTCCTAATTAAAGAATTACAAATCAACACATGATCATATTATTAATTATTTATTTGGTTTAAATAAATGTAATCTAGAGGCCTTTGCTTTTCATATAAGCCACTTCTGATACTAAATGATGAACTAGAAGTCAAGTTGTTGTTCCTAAAGCTTGGATAGGCAACACGACTTTGTCAGGTAGTGTATGTAAGGATAAGCAGAGTTATCTTACATCATCTTGGAAGGGCTTATGTTGCTTTAATGACCAACTGACTGCACATTTTCTTACACATTACACGACTGCTTGCAAATAAATAAGCGCAGATGAAATATTGATTCAAGCTGAAATTATTTTATTATGCGAGCAGAAAGAGACCATGGAGTGATGTGATTTGAAACTCGCACAGCTATTTAGGAAGTCATTTAGTAGGGACAATGGTCAATTTAGCAGCTACCGATTTGCAAAAACAGTAATACAGAAAGTACTGGAAGTCCGAACGCTGCGGGTGTAATAAAATGAACTCGGTCCAGTCCTTCTGAACCCATCCACAAAAACATTGCTGGGTCAGAACGAGCTGAATCTGCCTTGAGCGGTGCTTTTATAATAATGTAATAATACAGCGGGATACACAATAATTGAGTATATTACAGCCCATTATTGTGCATTACATTATGACTCTGTAATTCACACTTCATTGCGTTATATTGAAGTATATTTGTAATATCGGCTCAGCACTGAGGAAGTGGAAATTACACTACTTTGCTGAATCTGTTCTCTGATCAGTCATACTGAGGACAGTTCAGACCGAAAGAATGAGTTTCATAATTGGACTTTGACTGAACTTAAATGTTTAATTCTCATCAAGTAAAAGATCCTCACAGCAAGAAGGTCGCTGGTTCGAGTCCTAGCTGGGCCAGTTGGTATTTCTGTGTGGAGTTTGCATGTTCTCTCTTTGTTGGTGTGGGTTTCCTCCGGGTGCTCTGGTTTCCCCCACAATCCAAACACATTAACTATAAGTAAACTGGATGAACTAAATTGGCCGTAGTGTATGAGTGTAAATGAGTGTGTATGGGTGCTGTGTAAAACATATGTTGGAATAGTTGCCTGTGGCAACTCCTGATAAATAAAAGGACTAAGCTGAAGGAAAATAAATGAATAATACAGGTTGAAACATGGTGTGAACACCGCTACTCCTAATACTGAACAACCAATTTTACCGATCGACCCGCCCGCCCGCTCGCTTCCCTAAACCCGAGCAACAGTTTACAAAAAGCCGTCCAAAAAAATTAAAAGCTCTGAATTTTTTTCTATCTTGTTTTCGGATTTCACCGCGTCCTCACCCTGTTATAAAACTCGTTCATTTAATTTTTAGGATTCTTTTTTTGTCTTACCTGATTGCGGGAACCGATCTTCCCCGGACTCAAAACCGATCGCCGCGGTCGACTCCTCTCTGTATCTCGAGCCTGCCGACGTACGAGGTGAGCCGAGTGAACAAACGGCCGGCAAGCGCAATAGGGAACGGCGTCAAACCGCCCCTTAGCGTTCGCTTGGAAAAAATAAAGCGGGACTACGTTTTCAGAATGAGCTTGGGTTGCATTCAAAAGATGCCCCTCTTAACGCAAAGAGCGCATTCAATCGGCCCCTGATGCAGCCAAACTAAAAATATATAAAATAATATTTTTAATCGTTTGACTGATACCATTAATCGTTTATAAAAGCACCCTTTCGGTTAACGGTTAATCGATTATTTTGAGCATCCCTAGTTAGTTTGCATTCACATTTATGTTTTCATCCAACTATCCGCTTGTTAAGTGGTGACGTGTTTGTGACGTATGTAAAACTGTTTCCGGGTCCAAGCCGCCATTCATTTAAGTGGAGAAATCATTCGTTTATGATCACGTTTTATTCCTGTCACACATTAAAGTTAATTTTATATAAAATCATAGTGTACACAACAATCTCTGGGCTTGCTGCATAACAAATATCAAAAATTTTACAATTTATAAAAAAATGAATCACTTTGGCCATCGGATATTAGGCATGGACATGTATATTGCGATCGTGATTTTCGAAAGTATTAAATTGCTTTGTAAACGTTTATAATTTCCATTTCATGAGTCTCCCCATTGAGTTGAATAGAGCGCTTGGACCCGGAAGCCGCTTCGCGTGACGTCACACTTAACAAGCGGATGGGAACCCTAAAAGAGCACACTAGATTTTACCTCAGAGTCAGCATTTGTTTATTTTCAGTTAATTTGAGAATGCTTTAACACAAACAATATCAACTCATTATATTACGCTGCGCTATAAGTGAAAGCAGTCCTTGATTATTGGACCCAAATTTCCCCCAACGATTAGTGCAGAAACTGTGAATAAAGCAAAAAGTGTGCGGGCTCCTTATGACTTATTAACATGTGTTATTTTGTGGTGCATAATCCAGTGGAGCTCCTCATGCATAATGTAGCGCTCTGATTTAAGGTGTAAATTAATGATCAGGAAGCATCGGCTACACCTCATGTGCTGGTCATTAATGATAGATTGACCAATGCAGCGATAAAGCAGAAGGAAAAGCATTATCGCCCACTGGCAGCGCTTTGGCTTTCTAATCGGATCAGTGCGCTGTTATTTTCTCAGGGAGACGTGATATTTGCCGTGCCAGCGTGCTTTGTGTTTGCACATGTAAGAGAGCATTAGTAATTCAGCTTGGTAAACTGCTCAAACGGCCATTACACAATTAATATTGCAGCAATTGGATGAGAAGAGGGTGGAGTCAAGAGGCTGCTGTCGCTATGACGACGACTCACAATAGACACTAATGGAATGTTAATGTGACCCTGGACAAATAGAGCAGATTCCAGAGTGTAAACAGCTTAGAGGAGCCATTAGACACGAGGACATGTGCTCATATTTATTTGCGATCCTGGAATACATTTCAAGGATTACAGAAAACTAGATAATCAGAGTTTCCAGAGTTTTCCTATCAAAGAAAAACCAGCAGCTCATCTTCTATAAACAGTTCAGTATTGTTCACAAAACTTCAATATACACTGCAAAAGAAATGTCAGTGATTTCACATTCATACTACACACATTCATACACTCAAAAGTAAACAAAATGAACAAAGTTCTTGAGTTCTTTTGTTGACAACTTAATTGTCTTATGTTCATTCCACTTAAATTTGTAAAAACTATTAGGTTAACTTAATGGATTTGTGTTACGGTGTGGAACCCAGCGTTTTTTACAGTGTACTACTGTATATACACAAAAAAAAGAATACTTATATTTTATAATTACTAATATTAGTCACAAAATAAGATTTAAACAAATGCAATACCGAATTCACATAAAACATACGATATTTTTATTTAGTAATGTTCAACTTTATTTAATTCTTATTGTTGTGTATTGTCTGTTGGGCCAAAATTTGTAAGTCAATGTGTTTAAATAAAAAAAAAAAAATAAAAAAAAATAAGTATATAAAATAAAATAAATAAATAAATTAACAAATTAATTAATTAAACAATTTTATCAGAATTACGTAACAAGAAAAACAAAGTATTTTCTACATAATTAAATGGTAATATTGTTTATTTTCTAAACAATTAAACAAATTAATTATATAGCTCAATTCCACAAAGATGTTCAACTTTGCAGCTCTGTGACATTTTTCAAGACTGAAGGTCAGTATTGATTTTATTTTATTTCCTTTTTTTTTCTATCTATTATTATTTTAATTTGATCTCTTGTTGTTAATTGTTGTGTAAATGTTTGTTGGACCACAATTGGCATGTGTTTGAATATTTTAAAACCAAAAAGAAAATGAATGAATGAACAAAAATAAAATAAAATAAAATGAAATTTAATTTAATTTAATTTAATTTAATAAAAAATAATAATAAAATAAAATAAAATAAAATAAAATAAAATAAAATTAAATTAAATTAAATTAAATTAAATTTAATTTAATAAAATTTAATTTAAATTAAATGAACAAACAAATGAACGAACGAATGAATAAACGAAATTTAATCGTAATAGCGTAACAATAAAAACTAATTATTTTCTACGCAAATAAATGTTAAGATTTTTTTTCATAAAAGTTTAACAAATTAATAATATAGCTTAGGTCAATTCCACAAAGATGATAAACTTCGAAGCACCATGACCTTTTAAGGACAGAACTAAAGGTCAGTATTTCTTTTCTTTTCTTTTGTTTTCTTCATTTCATTTATTAAGTGTATCTATCTATTATTATTTTACTTTTATCTCTTATTGTTAATTGTTGTGTATATATTTGTTGGACCAAAATTTGCATGTGTTTGGATATTTTAACAATAATAAAAAAAGTACATAAAATAAAATAAAATACAAGAAAAATTAAATAAATTAAAATTAAAAGAATGAATGAACGAACAAACAAAATTCAATCGTAATAGTGTAACAATAAAAACTAAATATTTTCTATGTAATTAAATGTTAAATGTTTATTTTCTTAACAGTTTAACAAATGATTAATATAGTTGAGTTTTAGCAATTCCACAAAGATGATCAACTTTGGAGCTCTGTGACATTTTAAAGACTGAACTTCTGTCGAGTCAACATTTGTCTTGACAATTGTTTTCTAATTGAGTAAAAACCCTATTTGCTGTCCTACATGCACACACACACACACACACACACACACACACACACACACACACACACACACACACACACACACACACACACACAGTTGTCTGCATGTCTTACCTGTGCTGAGCTGGCTTGTGATTGGTGCAGATGGCGGTCTGGTAGTCGTGACTCACACACACTTTGTGAGGAGGACAGTGAACCTTCATGCAGGGGTCTTTAGTGCTGTCCAGCCCTGAAACACACAGAAAGACTTCATTTAGCAGGACAACCTAGATCTGTTCAGCTCCAGTTCATCTGCTCTCTGATCTGTGTTTATGTCTTCCTCAAACACGCACATACTCTCTCTCTCTCCTTTCTTTCACATCGCTGTTCTTTTGTTTTCCGTTTTTTTTTTCTCTCCAGGAAAAGAAAGAGAAAGCAGATTCGGTCAGATGGCATGAAAGGAAGAGAGAGAATCTGACGGAGGAGAGGAGAGCTTTACTCTGGCAAACACACAGGAGAAACAATGCAGCAGCCTTCTGGCAAATGTTTTATCATCTCTCACACACACACACACACACACACAGCGTTGACGTTGAGCAATAGCTCAGTGTAAACATTTCCTGACAAATGGAGGAAGAGGAGAAACAGTGTCTCGCGCCCTGCCATCTTTCCCTCTCTCGCACAGGTAATGCAGTTCCTCTGGCAGGATGTAGGAGGATGAGGAGGAGTAGAGTGTGTGTATGTGTGTGTGGAGATCATTACGAGAACTCATGAGACATTCATCTCCGTCAGGAAACATTAAACACACACGTTTCCCTTGCCATTTATTACACTGCAAATTCCGAGTATCAGCTGGACTGAACTAACATCAGGATATTTAGCTAGTGTGTGTGTGTGTGTGTCTGAAACACACAGGTGGGTTTAACGGAGGTCAAACACTCCATCACTCCCTCTGACCTTCACATGTCTGAGTGTGTGTTCGCTGGGGAAGTTTGATGCCAACCTGCTGTTCATCTGGAGCGCAGCCATGCCAACTGGCCTTCAATGCAACACACATACACACACACACACAATTTACAGCACTTATCACTCCTGTTACAGGATTAAGCTCCTCATATTTAAAGAGACAGTTCACCATCCTGCACTCAAAGAATCACTGCAGGATGGGTTATTTATATGGATACATCTTAATAAAATGGGAATGGTTGGTGATATTAACGTCATGTTTGTGGCACATTTGTAGATGTGAGGGGGCAAACGTTTCAAGATGGGTGGTGAAAACGGTGGCCATTTTGAAGTCGGCCATCTTGGATCCAACTTTTGGTTTTTTTCGATAGGAAGATGGTCATGTGACACATCAAACTTATTGGGAGTTTCACAAGAAAAACAATGGTGTGTTTGGTTTTAACGTAACTTTATTCTGCAATGAGTTATTTACACGTTTCTGACCACTTATAAAATGTGTTCAATGTGCTGCCCATTGGGTTGGATTGTCAATGCAACCCTCTACTTTCACTCTTAACACACTGATAGCAACACCGCAGGAGAAATGCCAGCACAGGCTTCCAGTATCCGTAGTTTCAGGTGCTGCACATCTTGTTTCTTCACACAATTAAATAGCAAATGCACCATGGTGTGACGTAATTGACCTTTAACCACTTAAACTCTGCTGCTATTTGGGGATTTCCGCCTGGATTTTGCCTACCCAAATTTAAAAGCTTCCCAAATCCACATGCAGAGGTGTAAATGCAAAAATTTGGTATCATTTTAAAGAAAACCCTTTGAATTTTCATAAAACACTATTGAAAGTGTTTAAAGTAACTGTATATGTTGTCTGTGTTATAATAAACACCTAAAAATAGGCACTTTTTGTATTTTTTTTATAAATGATAAATTAAATTAAATTAAATTAACGAATGAATGAACGAATAAATGATTGAACAAACAAAATTCAATAGTAATAGCATAACAATAAAACACACTATTTTATGCGTAGTTTGTTGTCACGATTGTGTATTTTCTAACAATTTAACAAATGAATAATCTAGCTGAGTTTTAGCATAGGTCAACTCCACAAAGTTGATCAACTTTGAAGCTCTGTGACATTTTAAAGACTGAACTGACGGTCAGTATTTATTTATTTATTTATTGTATCTGTCTATTATTATTTTACTATCATATGTATTGTTTGTATATTGTATCTTTTATTGTTAATTGCTGTAAAAATTTGCAAGTCAATGTGTTTACATTTTTAAACAATAATAAAGTAAAAAATAAAATAAAATAATAACAATAATAATAAATAAATAAAGAAATTGTTCCACAGATTTACAATCCAGACAGCCTGTCTCACTATAAAAATACTTCACTCCTAAACACTTCTTTTAGACTGCTAATACCTATTTTCTTTCCTTCCGTCTTCCTCCTGCTTGCTATCTGTCTTCTGCTGCCGAGTCTTTTGTGTGTGTTTGTGCGTTCGCAGATGTACATGCCTTATTGATGGAGTCCGGGCTTCTCTCAAGCCTGTGACGGATGGAATGATTTGATATTTTCCTGCATATGAGACTGAGCCGGCGAAGGCGAGAGAGAGAGGGAAGGAAGGAAGGAAACGAGGGATGAGGCGCTGGAAGCGTGTCGGAGGGGAAGTGAGGACACGCTTTAAGAGCGGGGACACACACACAGATTGCGTGATGTCCTCCACAGCATAAAGTGATGGGATTCAGTCTGAAGGACATTTTGTTGTGTGTGTGTGTGTGTGTGTGTGTGTGCGTGAAGTTAGTAGAAGGTCTGATGAGGTTAGGCTCAGAAAAATTTGAAGTCAAATACAACCCCTGTAAACTAAAATAAAATATAAAGTACAGTTGAAGTCAGAATTATTAGTCCTCCTAAATTATTATATTATTATACACTATCCTGCTGAAGAATTTGCCCTCTCCTGTGGTTTGTAATGTTATAGGCAGCACAAATGTCTTGATACCTCAGTCTGTTGATGTTGCCATCCACTCTACAGATCTCTCGCACGCCCCCATACTGAATGTAACCCCAAACCATGATTTTCCCTTCACCGAACTTGACTGAATTCTATGAGAATCTTGGCTCCATGCTGGTTCCAGTAGGTCTTCTGCAGTATTGGTGATGATTGGGATGCAGATCAACAGATGATTCAACAGAAAAATCCACCTTCTGCCACTTTTCCAAATGATCAACTAGAAATCAAGCTATTATTGTTGCTCTTACAACTGGGATCCACGAGAAGACTTTTGTCAGGTAGTGTACATAATGTTTGACTAGATATTCTTCAAGATATTCAGCTTAAAGTGTCATTTAGTCATTAGTCATTGTATAATGATTGTTTGTTTTGTAGACAATTTATAAAATAAATATTCCTTAAGAGGGCTAAAAATATTGAATTTTTATTTATTTATTTTTTTTAACCAGTTAAACTCTGCTGCTATTTTGGGATTTCCGCCTGGATTTTGCCTACCCAAATTTAAAAGCTTCCCAAATCCACATGCAGAGGTGTAAATGCAAAAATTTGGTATCATTTTAAAGAAAACCCTTTGAATTTTCATAAATCACTATTGAAAGTGTTTAAAATATCTGTATATGTTGTCTGTGTTATAATAAACACTTAAAAAAAGAGGTGCTTTTTGTATTTTTTTTATAAACTCAAATTTGAAAGTGTACCTTTTAGGTTCTGTGCTGTCTAGCGTGCTGTAATTAATTTAGGTGATTTCTGCACGTCTGTAATTATAGGAAAAAAGAAAAATGTCTCCACCATAATCTATGCAAAAGTTATTGCATGCCAACTGATGAGAGGTGCTGTACAAGCCACAGAGACCAATCATTGTTTACATATTTCACTATTCTTTTGTTTGATCAAACATAATTCACTGTGTTTGGACCACGTCAGACATATAAAAGGATTACTTATGCACATCACCTCAAAAACAGAGGAGAATGGCCCTGAAGCGCACAGCATAAGGTAAGAGATGGCAGCTGTCTGTGCTATCTGGGGCTGCTTATTGATCATGAATGTATTGTTTACATTTCTGCGCCATGGAAACACCACAATTCATTCAACAACTGTTTGGCATATGAATATATTTCAGTAAAAAGAATGCTAGAACTGTATGAGTACAGGCAAGAGCTTTCATTTAAGCTATAACTTGTACATGTGTCATATAAAAAATATGAAAACGAACCAATGTAAAATACCTAGCTCGGGTATCCAAAATACTGTGTATTTAAGTGTAAATAACTTTTAGAAAGTAGAAGAAAAACCAAAGTGATGCATATGTGCATAAAATATAGATTCTACACTTTCAAACGACACCACTTACGGGGGTCTGGTGCAACGCTAGCCCTGTAAATCTGAAAGCGAAAGTCGATGACGTCACGGACCCGGTACCGGGTCCGCAGAGTTTCAGAATTGCTCAAATACTGCAAAAAATTCCTTTGCATCATTTGGGAAATATGTGAAAATTTAAATAATAATAATAATAAGAAGAAGAACAATTTTTACTTCAGCTAATGAAAGGAATATTTGTATTTTTGCAATGTACTGCAAAATTTTGGGAAAAAACAGAGTCTCTGGGGTTGTTTCTCTCAGTCTCTGTGTTGCTTTAGTTACTGGCTTATGCATTGGCGAGGCTGTAGTGCATGTATACAAGAATACATCAAACAGAATAAATGAAAGAAAATGGAATAAAAATAGAGTATTGATCTAGTGAGGAGAGTGGACGTGCGAGTAGATGTACAGGTGCACATGTCCGGCATAGTGATGCATCTCTCTTGTTACTGCTCTACAGTGTATTCCTTCATTTTGTTCGGTCGTTTTTCTATTACAACAGAAAAAAAAAAACTAGTCATTCATATTCAGAGACGAACCCCAAACACCCTCACTGCAGGCTACGAACGTGTGTGTCGAAGAGGGAATGAAAATAAGAAAGTGTGATAGATCCGGACTGATAAATGTGAGATGAGAGAGAGAGAGAGAAAGAGAGAGAGAGAGAGAGAGAGAGGGGATGGGGGATATTTACCTCTTCACACTTTTCAATTCCAGGCCTGAATGAACAAATTCAGCTCCTGTTTAACCAAGCAGTCAATTCTAATCGACAAATGGCACACGACGTACACACTTTGGACATGTTTGAAATGGAATATGCACAGAATATACTGTATATTATCCAAAGTGTGGTGCGAATATGCATTGAGAAATACTGCAGGAGGTGTCTAATCATTCTTTTG